ACTAAATTGGTCATGAATTATTTATGTGAAAATATTTCTAAAAATAATACATATATTAATAGAACTTGTATTATATAATTATTTTTAATGTTAACTTTTATAATACATCTAAATAAGCTACTGGTTATTTAGATATATTATATCTATATTTTATTATGTGTATATATTCAAAATAAAATTGCAACCATTTAGAAATATATAATGCAATATATGTTAGATATTTTTTAGGCTCTTTCAATGTATTATCTAAAATCAAACCATATTACCATAATAAAAATGCCTGGGTAAGCTTTTTCCTTCTAAGTTAATTCTTTAGATGTGTAGAACTTTTTCCCGTTGAACTCGCAGAAAAGATAAAACAGGGTCGGAGTCTATTTGCGATTGTAACTATTCAAGTCGATTTTTGTATACCCGATGTGACAATAAATGTATAATAAATTATTTCTTTTGTATTTGAAGAGGCATTAACGCAAAATAAATAACACGGTAGATCCTATTCCAGTTTTTGGAAGTATAAGTTTATTTAAATTCACAAATGTCTTAATTATATATTTGATACAAATGTAAATTAACCTGTTACAAATGACTACAGTCGAAAGTAAATACAAATTGTTTGTAGGTAATTAAGTTATTACAAGTAGATACAATACTAAAGTTATTTATCGTCTACTGGAGAAATGGTACACTTTCTAATCGCTTTCAAATCCATCTGTGCTTTTCTGCCATCCTAAAATTATAATAGATTTATAAAATAAAATGATTATTTAATGCTTTGTTAATATCTTCTGTAGATATCTATAAGAGGTATATTGTATATTACATTCTGGAAAAAAAACTCAGATGTACAAAATGTAAACCTATATATGTATAGAAGTATATATGGATAAATTATATTAGAGAAAATGTATATATATCACGCTTGTGTATACAATCTGAAGAATCTCTCCAACCAGTCGTAAACATCAAATTATTCTAAATTTATTATAACTTTCATATAAAGAAGATATAAATATGTATCTAATAATCATATACTAACACTCATTTTTCAAATGATGAAAACAGTTATAATTTTATAGTACATTAGTTCATTTTTAAGTACTTCTAGAAGTGTTACAGTACAAAACCTAAAAAGGAATTCAATATTTTACAACTAACAGAACTATATTTTGTTAAAAAAGGCACATCCATAAATTTTAAACACTCAATACGTCACGAAAACACATAAAAAATATTACATCAGTTTATACTATGTAGTTACCTCAATAAACTAACACTTTATGACTGCTTTTACACCTGTAAGTTTTACTCACATAACTAAAGTTCTCACGTACCTCATCTAATCAACTTACGACTTTACAACCCAACTTATTATGTTTTTCACATACATTTGTATATTAGTAGATATATTACATAAGTTAACCTGCATTTAAGTAATCGAACTTACAGGTGCAAAGCAGCGTAGAAATTACCTAAAAATAATACTGTATGGAAAATAACTATATGATTATATGAAAAATGCTATGAGAGGTAGATTTTATTGAACTTGGACACGTTATAGTATTAATAATATGTAAGTAACTATGTCATTAATGTAGTTTGGTATTAACTTAATAAATACAAACGGATTATATAGTACAGATATAAATAGTAGCAATTATGTATACCCCTACGTAGTTAGGTACATGTGTGTTGTTATTAACAACATATATATTAATTATGCTTAGTTGTATAGTTAGTCAAATAAAAACGTTACAAACATACTGAAGTGACAATGAAGGAAGTCATGAATGAATTGTTGAAAACTCAGGAACTCTAGATGTAACATCAGCATATTTTCTTAAAATAAAACGAGTATATCGAGATAACGTGAAAAATGCTATGTATGTGACCATACAAAATATTATCTAAATTTGGGTGCGATAATTATGAAGCCGTAATGACATTTTAATTTCAACGTTTAGAACTGTGAAATAAATATTTTAGAAAAATACGTCGTACTTGGTGTTAAGCAAATTATAATAAAAGTTGTGTTAATAATTCACGATTTATCATCATCATAATGCAAATTAAAAGTGACATATTTTTGGAACAACTAACTCGTGTAACTTCTGCATTTATCGTCCACAAGGATAAATAGTATTCACCTCATATATATTATATATGTCTAAACATACATGACAGCTAACTTTTCTCTTGCGTTGTTCATGTAAAATACTTATTGCTACTTTATTTTTTATCACTAAAAAGGGTTTTATCACCAATTAGCATTACGATTACTATAGTATTTTGTTTTTAATTCGCAGGCAGGTAAAGACTCTTTCTTTAGAGTTTTAAATTTATATGTTTAATTTTTATCCATATTTGCTAACAAGATGGTCTATAGTGCTGTAATCTACGATTAAAGTTGAAAATTGTACAATTAAATGGTATTTGTTAATAGTAATAGAATTTCTAGTAAATTAAATAGGTACGTCAGCGGCTTAGACTGCTATTCACCTTTATATATTCCAAGCATGTATTGTGTTCTACTTAGGCAAGACCGCAAAATAGAGACTGTGTTTTGCGGCCGTAAATTTCTGAATATATATATCATTATTATCGGTGTAAAGTTCCCTTTGTTTATTAAATTACATTATGGAACCAAGTTGTAAAGTTTTAAATTAATGTTCGACCTCTCGTAAAATATTTTGTAGGCATTTGAAATTCTAGATCAGATTACAAAGACCGTTTTTCCGTAAATGATCTACATAGGTATCTAAGTAGGCTTAAAAAATATATTAGTGCAAAGCTCCGATTATGGTTCATTGCGATTTTAGAACATTGTTTATAATTACTCTATAACGTTTACGTAAACTTTGTATTCATAACTTATTTGTGCACTATAATTATATTCAATATACAACAATTAGTATCTAAAGATTAGGTTTTTATGATTAGGTACAAGTTTTACAGAAATATAGTAGGTTGTACTTATAGATTGCTTGTTGTAATGAATACACATAGTATATTTAGAACAATATGAATAAAATATCAGTTCACTATCGAATTTAATATGTTACGCAACCCTACCTACGTACTATGCCACATAACAAATAAACCCGAGAACTGTCTAACATTAGAACGGTCGTGGTCTCATGATTTATATTCAACTAAAAAAAACTGGCTTAATAAAAGTGTGATTTAGAGTAATAGCAAAACTTGAAAAGTAGGTACTATTTATGCCTAATTATGATATCCATAATGTGTTTGCAATTTTAATTTAATGATATTTACGTGTCTCTAACATTATCTTCGCAACACGCATTATTTTGAACGTATCCATTCACCTTTCAGAACTTTACATCAAGTATTAATTTTCTTACATCAATTATAACTCTCCGCTCGCAAACAAGTTGACAATCACACCTCATCTGAAAACAAGGTCTAAATTTGAAGGTCGTGTTCTTCTTTACGGTATGTAAAGTTATTATTTACACATGTTTGAAGTCCTCAGGACTGTTGGAAGATCGAAACATGTAGGTTGAAATAGAGTTCCAACTTTTGATGATGATTGACAATAACTATATATGTGCAATGCATAACATCGTAATATCTTTATTCTCTAATTATATATACAAACTGACGTATAAACCTAAACAAATTTTATATTGAAAAAATAAAATACCTTTAACATAGTAAGAACATTTTGCCTTTAAATTTTCTTTATCAGTTTATGCATAAAACTCACTGTTTACACAATTTAGGGTCGGCTCTTCGAACAGGCGACGTCGGCAAACTCTAAATTTAGGCATGAAATGAAAGGGCGAACTCAACATGAACACAGAACAGTAGCTGTTTAGATCATAAAATATCAGAGAAACGACATCCTGACATGCATAATATTTGTTTAGAAACGGATAGAGACCTACTTATAATTTCTAGACTAGTCTTTTTACATAATTGCTACTATTCAGTTTGACAAATCAACATCATACTTATTCTGAAATCATACATTTATTTATAACATTTTTTTATGTAAATATTAATCACTAGTAACTGAGACAGCATTTTATTTCTTTCAATACGTGGATTTCATTTAGCTTGGAAAATAAAATTACGATTTTAAGTAGATATATTAATACTGCCAAAATAGGTTAGTATATAGGTCACAAGCCCGCGGCAATAAGTGAGGCAAGTGTAATAAGTATAAAATATATCGTCACATCAATCTAAGTTACCTACTGGAACAAGATTCATTACCCCATAAGTTTATTATATACCACATTATAAATTTCAAAAGTCCATTTCCCATCAATTTACCTAGGACATATAAGTAAATAGGTAGCTCTGTTCTCGACAGAAGTGCTCTAAATCACTTAGTCGATTTTCAATAGGGGTGTTGTCCTAGGAATAAACTACTATGACAGATTATGAAACACTTACACTCTAAAAATTAGTTAAGAATATATCAAACTTACCATAAACCAGTCACATTTAGATCCGTCTTTCTAAATTATCACTTTCTATCTACATAATGAAATTGAACATTAATTACAACAGTATGTCTAAATCTTATAGCTATAGGTACATACATCATTGGCGTTATTTTTATTTAATAGAAACAATTACTATACTTTATTATGGAATGTATAAATCTTAATGGAAGCAAGGATAGTGCGAGGAGCTTTACAGGCCATAACAGTAAATTAAGAAAACGTTGATCTAAGTTAAGAGAAGGATAAAAATCTTATTAGGTTCTCTTCAGATATTATGAACATAGATAGAAATAATCTGGTCTAGAGCGTCATATAATATGTAATTAAGTAAATAATAATATTTCTAGTTATGCTATTTATACAAGAAGACAACAATCACTCAATTATACTATTTCCAAAAATAAATAAATATTTTATAAACACCTTTTCATTTAATTACTCTCCTACCATGGAAACAGAGTTCATTAATTTACATAATAAAAATATTTTATATATCATATATATATATATATGATTAATGTTAGGATAATGACGAACTGTCAAAATTATTTGGCATTAATTACACTTTAAGACTGAGATTAATAATATAAAACTATACTTACTTATTACTTAAGTTATAGTTCATTTTATTGAAGTAACAGATAATGACTTCGCAGAAAATTTCCTAAATAACCTTTGGAAAAGCTTCGCGTACATGTTAATAGTTATGAATTTGCGTTATTATTATTTCATTATAAATTATGAATCAAAGTTTTGCAATTAGTCATGAAGGTATTTTAATTAATTATCGATGCAAAGTAGCAAAATCACTATATTAATTTAAACAGTGTAATGTTAAACAGTATGACAGGATGATTTTATAAATTATTTTGATGTTGTAGGATTAACCTAAAAATGGTTAGACTTAAGCCATATTAAAAAGTAGAATGTATTCAAGATACAAAACGGCTATCCAATGTTGTCAATCATAATGAAATACAATTTGTATTTTGTTTAAGAGATGACACATGAATTACGTTTGCTGTTGTGCCTTTCCCTGATTTGTTGGAGATGCGCTAATTGAGCGGGCGAGGGTACATGGGGTTGGGTAGCTGGTGATGGTGTTGGACTGGACCCCGGTGGACCTTGAGGCCCAGTAGGCAGAGATTGTCGACGTCGACGTCTTAGTGCAGGTGACAGATTGTATTTCACTTTGGCTTGTACCAACAATTCTTTGAAAATCTGAGATACATTGACGTTATCTTTCGCTGATGCCTCTACAAATCCATTCTCCCAATCTACTGTCACAACCGATTCCGTCGTGTGAAATTCAACCTGTGAACAAAAATAATTATAAATAGCTCATTCATAAATAATTAGCTTTAATATTTTAGATATTTATCTATTTAACGGATTGTTTGAATTTTCGGTGTGCAAAACAATAAATAAATAACCCTGGACAATTAACACAGCACCATCAAGATCCACGGTAAGCAGAGCTTGTGTTATGGGTACTAGAAAACTGATAAAAATACTTAGATGTTTTTTTTTTATGTATACATAGAAAACACCCAGACCGAAACAAACAATTATACTCATGAATACAAATGTTTGCACCGTGCGAGGAATTGAACCCGCGGTTATTAGAACTAAAGCGGTGTATTAAACCGCTAAACCACAGGACAGAATATTATCTACTATCTGCTATTAATTTTCTGCCTTGTATTCTATGCTTTAATACTTTTACGTATATGTGTAAAACATATACGTAAAAGTATTAAAGAATAGAAAAACAAAGTTAATAAATTTCTCAAAAGCATCGATTGGTATATTCATTTGGTAAAAATTTAGTTTAATAGTCAACCCAAAAGTATTTCGCCATAGCAATCGGAAATTACTAAGTAATTAGCACGTCAATTACAGCTTTCGTTCGAAAACCGGCAGAGTGCTATATGCGGGTTAATGAGCTTCTACAAAATTTATTGCGCTAAGTTGTTTTATGGACTAAGTTTCGCACATATCTACCTGCTTACATGATATGTGAGCTTTGACACACGTGGGAGTTTCCAAATATTATTAAGACAAATATTACATATTGCAGACTCTAATTTTCTTTAGTGGTAGCCTGTTGACTCGCCTGAGTAGGTAGAGCTACGGCGTAGGGACATTGAGAAATAATAATATAAACTTAGCTTGAAGAAATGCAACGGGGTATAATTACTGACAGAAAAGACTACCTACTTATTCTTGAAAGCAATAAAGGCAGAGAAAAACCTTTACTAATTTCATCATGGAAATATTTAATTGCTACATAAAACAAAGAAAAGGATAATTCCATTTTGTAAGTCCACCCACTCTGTTCCTTTCAATCCTCTCTTTGTTTTAGTCCGTTGTCCTCAGAAATATGCTCTTACTGGGGAAAATAAGACAGATAATCTGAAAGATAGATAATACCTATGGGATATTTAACCATACGCAAAGTGACGTATGGTTAAATATCCCATAAGTTCAAGCAATATGCTAAAAAGCTATATGTTAAAAATGGGGATATTGAGAAGTTAGCGGATGGGAGGGCATAGTGCGGGATATTCCGGACAAACTTACCCCACCGGCTCAGAGTCCGGAACTATATATATCTGAACATTGTTGTCGTACATGAAATGGAACTAGTTTTAAATAATGTTCTATCTTTTATTAAATTGGTAGCTGACATACTAAAGTTTTGCTATAATTTTAGTATCGCTGTGACGATATATCACTACAAATATATTTGTTATATATTCTGTTAGATGGATTTGGCTATTAATTTTCAGCGGATTTGTAGTGGAATAGCGTATCCATAATTTCATCTAGGTGATCGATAACAATATTTTCGATAATTCTGAACAAATTTTGTTGCTTTTTGATGCTTCTTATATGCATGTCTACTAATATAGGTAGCGAGTGCGTTCTTCGTTTCTGCAAGAAACGAAGAACGCACTCGCTATCTGATCTATTATGAATAAGGCAGCAAATTAATAATTAAATAACTATATAGTATAATAAATGAAAGAAAGAATAATAAAAAAATTAAAATGGAATTACATGTAACTTAAAAATACATGGATAAAAATACTATTCGTTTAAATAACAAAACCAACATGGAGCGTACGTGGATTTTCATTTTTTAATCTTTATTTAGAACTTTTGTCCACAATAGTCATGAGTTTCATTTTATCCGACACTAAAAAGTATGAATGTGTGTATTTAAATTTTACAGTAACTTTTCGATGATGGTTAAAACTGTTGACAAGATAAATAAAAAATAATAATAAAGAAATAGAATTTTCTTGGTTCCAAAGAAATTGATTGATCGTCTCACCATCTAAAAAAAGTGTCGCTGTGCAGTTTTTTTTTAATAAAAATAAATTATCAATTTTTTATTATTGATATGATATTCTGTCCTTACGATAACTGATTTGATGCATAAACCACATATATACCTGCATATTTTTTAAAAGAAATTGCTACCAGCTTCACCGTGATCCAGACTGGCGAGATATTATTTAGACCAAACTTCCTTGCATCCTTATGTTGTATCAGACGTAATACATATTATTATTACCTATTATTACTACCCTACAATACGACAAACGAAAGTATTTCAAGTAATTATAATAAATTTGGAAAACTCTGAACGGATTTTAATCAATTTAACGCGACGACAGTTCACATCAATACATTATATCTTCAAGAATAATCTGAAAGAAGGTAAAATAGGGTATAAATGTAGAAGCGCGGGAAACTTTTGAAGTATATGAATAAGCCAAGAAAGTAATTAGGTAATAATTGTAACAACCAAAATCTTCTGAATACCGTTTATTTATAGGTTAGTGGATTGTCTACCCTTTGACGGTGTTACTCAATGAAGCGGACACGACATTTATGGCATCCGACGGGACGTTTGTTAATATTTTGTGAAACATTTTCTCCGTTCTGTGACGGATCGGAAATTTAATCTCATCCATCAGGCTTTTAAAATTTGAAAACGTTGAGTAGTTTTTCTATAAAAAGGTAGTAGGAGAACATATAACGATATGAAAACGTTTTATTTGTTTATATGAACAACATTATATATTAATATTCAAACATTAACCTTTTTCTTGTAGTTGTCATTATTTATTGTAAATCGAAATTACATAAAGATAATTACATTTTAATTCATAAATTTCGAACGATTAAAGAAATTTCCTATATGCTATATTCATCATAATATCACAGTTAACAATGACTCCACATATACACCGTAAGAAGGTAATAGTTATAATAAATGATAATTATCACTTATTACGCACTGTGTACAAGCAAATGAGTCAAACAGACGTAACTGGGTAAATTGGGTAAACCTGCTGATGGTCCACTTGATGGTAAGTGGTAACCATCTCTTATATACATGAACACCATCACAGACATCGCGTTATGATGTGATGTCTATCATTGTGTATACCAATTATGCGTTGCATTCTGGAAGGCTAAAATGTAAAATCTGTAAACTGTCATTTTACCGCCTTATCAACCAACTACTTTGTACAATGTTAAGCCTCGGTATAATAATATCAAGATTATGTAATATAATGTAATGATATTTGTGTAATCTATGGCAAAATAATTATGGAATATACATATATAGCAAATCAAGCGACGGTCCTTGCGAGATAATAATAGAATAATATTATTGAAACGGATGGAACAGATCCGGTAGCGAAGACGCGACCTTTTTACCCCTTGGCATAATAAAATGTATATTGCAAGAAAATACTATTCATCAGTAAAAAATGTGATCGTTACAGAATACAAAATTGCATAAGGAAATTATATATTTTAATTGCGCTCTTTAAATTATCACGAGTGATTCTTATTCATTACAAGCTACTCGTCCCGGCTTCGCACGGGTGTACATATATTATATATATAAACCTTCCTCTTGAGTCACTCTATCTATTAAAAAAAAAACACAAATCCGTTGCGTGGTTTTAAAGATTTATGCATACATAGGGACAGACAGCGACAGCGACTGTTTTATACTATATAGTGACGATAATATAATGATTTTTAAGAAAATTAATATGTTATTCGTTTATATTTATCAATGATATGGTTTATTAATTACTTTTCTACCGAGAAGTTATTTTAATATCAAATACAATAATATTTCTTATAATGATTTGCTATCAAATAAAAAATAGCTTCCCCGTAGCAATATGGGTATATATAGAAGATCATTATGATAAATCTTTTTAGGATGTGATTTATTTGTTCTTTCGACAACAAATCGAATTGCTTGTCAATAATACATAAGTTAGAATTCATTTCCCCTGTTGACATATATAAATCTGTTTTAGAATATTTATTTATTCCAACTTCTAAGCCTATTCTCTTTCAGCAAGAGATTTACTTAAGTACTCGTATCTAAATCACAAATTGACATCTCATTTCTTTTAAAATCTAGAAGACTGTGACACAATGAATCAAGTATGGACGGATCTATAGGAATCCTTTAAGAATTTGATCTTTCCTACAGGGAACCATAAATTCGAAATACGAGGTCATAAATATTTTTTCAACTAACATACAAGGATCGTAATAAAACGAAATAATGTGATAACAAGATTATTATATATATTTGGATCAATTTTCCCGTCTTTTACAGGTATTGGCAGTAAATAAGAAACTTCAAAATTCCTGCTGTCATCTGATTATTTAATTTATATCTCTATGTAAATTCAATAAGGAAAGAATTATAGGAAATAGTAACCTGAAGATATATATATATATAGCAAACCAATACTGAATATACGCATCATACTAAAAATATATTTATGACTAGTACACGTTTCAAATTGGAAACAGCTGGTTATAGCCTTGTTACGTACTCACGAAATAATATCACAGTGAATTCTAAGTACTTATACATCCGTTGCCGAGTTTCATCACGTATGTTTTTTTCGAGTTCCACAATATGAAGTTATTGACGGTTGACTAACATTTATTTTATGGGAATAGCGATATTGCGAGCAAGTTCAGGTTTGCCCCAGGGGGCTTGGAACGCGACACGTTCGTGTTGTGAGATGACGTTGCCATCTGCCCCAAGTCGGCACTTTGTTGTTCAAGTTTGTTACCAGTATATAATATAATACGTTGTGGATTGTGTTGACGCAATGTATTTGTCTTTAGATGATATAGAAACACAATAAAATTTTAAGTAACTGACACAAACTCATGAAACATATTGCTAAATATTGTTCAAACGCCCAGTTTAAAAATGGGGATAAAAGTCACATAATAAAAAATGTAGTCTTCTGACAGTATTCTATGTCCTAAACTAAGATAGATTAAGTTATAATAGATACTAGAACTAAGTTAATCATCAGTTTGATACTTAGTTATTTGAACTCAATGTGTCATGTAGCTTCATGAATCTTGTAGCGGTAAGTTTATATCAATAGGGAAGTATCAATATATGATTAAATTCTTCAATTTCATTAATGATCAATGCCTGTCACTATGTTTTAAAACACACAATAGACCATTTATCAAAAATCACGCATGATAAATGCATGCGAGATAGGGCTATTTGGATTAATAATAATAAAATTACAGACAAGTTTTGGCTTATTGTTGGCATGATATTACTTTATTAAGTATTATGCTATCTATGGTTATATTATATCAAGATTACGTAATATTAAAACAGATAATTTAGCTAACCTGTCTATCTCCTGTTTCTGCTAAGTCCACCTTATTGCCAACGACAACAATAGGTACAGCTGTGCTTTCTTTGGTTTCATGGATCTGATCCCTTAAAACTCTTACTTCTGTGAAGCTGTCCGCATCCGTAATATCGTATACTAAAATAAATGCATCAGCTGACTGCATAGACAGTGCTCGCATCGCTGGAAACTCGTAGGCTCCAGAAGTATCCAGAATATCCAGGGTTAGTCTCACACCGGAAACGTTGAAATCTCCATGATGCATTTCCTCTATGGTTCTTTTATACTTTGTAGAAAATGTACCATACAAGAATTGAGTTATAAGAGAGGATTTCCCAACTTTTGCTGCTCCTAATACCACAATTTTGTGTCGCACCGCATTACTAGACAGATTTCCACTGCTCGATACTGTATCTTCTGTCTTCTCAGTCCTGCAATAAAATAATATAATTAATAAAAGTTATTTTTTAAAACTACATAATTCACTTATGTTTCTTTGTGGAGTTCATTAGTGTGTAGGTAACTCTAATTTTTATAATTTTTCTGATTCCAATATTACGTTAAATAAAAAGTTAAAACAAGATCGATTCAGGCCAATGTTTTGTTTCTATCTACGAGTATTCGGTACATGTTTTAAATCACAAATTTCTTTACGATCTTGAATAACTCAAACGTCTGAATAAAAATATTTTTACAAGAATCATATCGACCAAGATATTGTTCAATAGAGCGTCACAAATTCAATTAGAAATGTTTCAGGCGAATGATGAGTCAGAGCTACCCTCGGGAGATAAGGTTATGTGTAGAACAAGATTGGCCGAGTATCTTTTATAGCGAAATAGGTAATCTTTTCAAAATCTACTTCATTTCGAAATCTATTACAATTGGTGCAGTTTAGTTTGGCTTAGTCGATTAAGATTTTATTGTGTGGACAACATGTATGTTAAACTGTTTCCATAAAAATAATAATATGATATGATACCAGATACACAAGTAGAATACATGCAGAATATATTAAAATTTCGTAAATGCCAAAGTTAAAATCGTAGACATCGAGTTTATAGCTGTACCGGCAGAATAATTCGCATCATGTATTTAACGAGGACGTGTGGGACGAATTTTGTGAAGTGAACGATAATCATGCAAATCAGGTTTGGCGTTAATGTGAATATAACAGCATGGTACGATAAAAACCTTGAGGAAATAGGCAACTTTGCTAATGTATGCATTCACTTGTAGATAAACTACAAGGGCACCCGGGTCTTATCAGCGGAACCTGGGGGCGGGTCACAATTACCTAATTGGCAAACAGATCATATGACAAACTATTATGTTTATTTTATGTTGCTATTTATACGCAAGTTTTCCGTCTTTGAGTAAGTATAGTGATAAAGTAGGTTTAATGGTAAACATATCCTTTTTTTGTACACTTGCGCTAAATAATGACTTTATACTGCTAGTTATTCGATGGTAAGAGGTTATGCAGTCCTATTTAAAGATATCCCGCAATTTAAGTGTATTATTTCATATTTTTCTAAACGTAATAACCACATATACATTATTTGACAATATAAACAATGCAATCGATAAGAGTTCGGTGATATCTGTGGAGGCCAGCTATCGCAGTGTGTTCATGTCACCCGCTACATTTTATCGGTCAGCAAATAAAATCATCACATCGATCAATATTGTAGAAACACAAAAAAGTGACTCAAAATGGTCACATTTATTTTGAGCCCTAGAAACAAATACAGTTATTATACAAAAATATTGGCTCTTTTTATAACAGAAATTCTATACCTTTATATTGTTGTTTACCAACTGAATTAGATAGATTTATTTACGTCGCACATTCTTTGTTTACGGGTTGTGGGCAGTGAGAGTGAACCGCCAACCGCCAGGCATATAATGTACCGATTACTACCGATGTAATGTAAAAAAAATGTTTTCAGCCAGTCCTTCTCAACTGAAGTAGGTATTCGCCGAATTTTTACATGTCTTAATGAAATAATGATTTATCAATTTTGATTTTTTAAAAAACTATTACTATATAACAAATGTTAAAAACTATTATAGTTTTCTTTAAAAAATAGCACAGCTATCAGAATTGGTTAATTCCTAGCTCAACCCAATTTTTCAGAGATTAAACAATTGAAATAGTAATATACAAATTCAATTTAAAATTCGAATTGGAAATAAAATAGCAGAGCATATACTCGAGATTTATTGTAGATAATGTGAACGCAGTAAACGTGTTAACTTTATGACGACCAAATAACTCGAGTGTCTTAAAATTGATGCTCGAATTATCACTTGATATAAAATAAAGAGAGTCATTTAGCTCACTGGGAGCAGTTACAGCTCGTGGCGGAATAGGTAAGAGATGTGCTCATTGTCGTTTTATGAGCGAAACGCTTTATTTACCAGCGGGAGGTGCAATATCAATTTTATTGGTCTATTGTAGGGATGTGTAAATTATTATAATATTTTGATCGGTTATTATTCTATTACTCCAAGTAATCAAATGATTAAAATCGATTATTACATCTAAGTGGTCTAAAAAATAAGACCTAGTGACAAGGTGGTTTGTAAACATGTGTTTTCTGAAAATAATCGATTGTAAAAATAAATATTATTATTTAGTAAAAAAGAGCTTTTAGTTTAACCGTTATAAATGTCACAAAAATAACCAATTCATTAATAACAAGTTTTTCCACTGAATTTCACAACCCTAGTCTATTATACAAAGTAATCGAAGTAAAATGCCACAAGGCATCATTGTCTCTATTATACGCGGTTACTTATATATATAGCTTTTTTTATGTAAGATCACCAACTACTCACAAACTAAAAGAAATTACGCTGCTAAAGTTATATATATACGGATCGTACATTATATATCGAAAACTAGTGGTAAGAAGCCAAAGTATAAATGAATAAGTTACAAAGTAGTAAGTATGAAGTTACTTACATCAGTATTTAGGTAACATTTATCATTATCCGTTTCCGTATGATATTTCAAAAACTTTTGTATTTATTTATATCGTGCGAATGATCATTTTCGTACTGCTAAATTAACAATTATTGAAGTGAAAGTAATTACTTAATAAAATTTAGGCTCTAAAAATAGTAACAAGATACATCTTCAACAAGAAGGAAAGGCTAAGTCATAGAGAGGAAAATTACCCAACAAGAAATTATTTTTAATTATACGATAACAATTTTCGTCCAATGTAAGAAAATGGGGACATTATTTATGTACATTTTATACCAATTCTAAAAAAAGATTTTGAGCAGATAGTTTAAGCCTTCGACGAACATTTTAATAAATGAATGAATTTTCTAAATTTACGAGGATTATAGTTATCGTAGTACACAATTCTTAAAAATAATACAACTATTATCTGAAATCTCACTGTACTGTATTCATTTAGTATAGGAAAAAATCTAAAAGACAAAAAGGAAAAGAAGGAAGATGGTACACGATTTAACGGAATGTAAGTTCTTAATATTCAGTATAAAGTTTAATATATTTTAATCTGGTTCCGCTCTCACTTGGTTTCACAATTTGTTATAGTATAAGTTGAAATTATAAAAACGTACTATATGGATATATAAATTTAGTTTGCTTGAACTTTTGGCACTGTTATATGGAATTTAGGCATTCATGTTTGAACTAGTGCCAGTTTGTAAAATACTCTAAAGCTATCCTTTAAACTTTTATGGGGTCAACAACCCGGAGAGTAGGTATATTGAACCAATATCGTTGCCAAATATATGAAATAACTTCCCAGTATAGTATGACTATATACCTATTGTATAGATACACTCATTGAATTTTTAAATTCTGATCCTTTTACCATTTTCAATAGTACCTACGAGTACATACAATATATATAAATAGTGTTATATTTTATTGATTCACTAGAACAGTACAGACGTCTAAGTAAGTACGTAGGTACTGTCATCGTCTGTACTAAAGAAAAACTTAGACAGTTTTTATTTAGTACAGACGATGACGAAGAAGTTAGAATATTTTTTATAAGATTCACTCGGACTCAATTTTTAATTATCATTCTTATGATTATATAAGTAAATACATTACTTTCTATTATAGTTTCCCTCTACATTCTACCTATGACTGTTGCATCGGATTGATTGGAAGAGATTTCTTACAGAGATCTCTATCTTTCTATTTCTAGTCCCCAAGCCAGAGCTTAATTTGGTCAAACATTTCCTCTCCACCGAACACTTCTAAAACGGTTAAATAGTTTTATTATGAAAGTTAGTGAAAGTCAGCTGCGGTTTTGAGGGTGGTTTGAGTAGCAGGACCCTCGCAAACAATAAATTTGTTTTTATAAAAATAGACCTTATGCACTCTAGTTTTGAAGTAGATATCAGTGCTTATTTAGGAAATTTATTTTAACGAGTTGTGTACTGCTTCACAGGTGGCGTTGTGCAAAATGTGGATGGTGATTACGTTGTTCTTAATAGAATCTATGCTATACAGTAGTACTTAAAAAAAAAGTTCCTCATAAGTTAGCCACCCCGTTCGGACCCGTAACCGGAGTTTACTAGGCTTCAAAATACTTGAAATTGGTCACATCGACATTGGTCATCTCTAGTGATTGTCATTATTGTGTTTTTGCAGTACTTTAATACGGTAAGAAACAGCATATTAATATTAAATAGGTGTGTCTTTATAATATTAACGATAATATTTCACTTTGAATGAAAGTGATATAATACAGACAACAAAGACAAACGTACATAAATAAATATGTATATATACAAATTAAATTACATTTCTTCTGAAACAAAAGGGAATATTTTGTAAAGCTTTCTACCACGAATAGAAAAAAGTTTCGATAGGCAATTTCAGGGAAGCAATAATTCTATCTACTGAACAATCAAACATCAAGCCCGGTTTTCATTTTCTTTTTTGTCATACCATTTTATTGGGACTTCTTTCATTTGCGGTGAGTTATATTAACTTACATAATCTACATAGCTTTATCCGTATTTGATCGCATATATCACTGAATCCTTATAACTTAATCCTGAAATTTAATATAACTTGAATAATATTAATCTTCACATAAATATGGAGTAGGAGGTAATATACCTACATAGCTATATTAATTTTATTAACTCTTGACCGAAAAAGAGGGGTATTATTACTTTGACGTAAATGTGTATATCTGTGTCTGTGTGGCATTATAACTCCTAAACGAATTTGAAGCGTTTTTTGTTTGCTGCTAACTGACGTAATCGATATGGTTCATAGCTGCAATTTAGTACTTTTTTCAATTGCTTCAATTTTATTAGTTAATCTAAAATTATGTGATAACATATAATTATAAATATTATAATAAAAATAAAATAATTTTCTTATATTTATTTGAGATTATTTGTCCTCATTTTTAATCCC